TTCATCCATCAGGAAAAGGCATGAACTCCCAGTGGAAGTTTTTGTTTTAATATATTTTTATTGATTTCAAAGAGGAAGGGAGAGGGAGAGAGAGAGAGAAACATCGATGTGAGAGAGACACATCGGTTGGTAGCCTCCTGCACGGGCCCCAACCAGGGCCTGGGGCCAGGGCCAGGAGGAGCCTACAACCTAGGTACATGCCTTTGACTAGAATTAAACCCATGGCTCTTCAGTCCACAGGCCGACACTCTATCCACTAAGCAAAACCAGCTAGGGCGGTACATCTCATCTTTTTTTTTTAATTCAAGAGTTTTTACTTCTGTGGGAAGGGTTTGGGAGAACTACATAGAAAACATTGAATATACGTGGGCCTTTTTATTTTGCCAGGCATTGTTTTAGGTATCTTTCATACTCACTCAATCAACATAAAAACCCAATAAGTAAGCCATCTCTTTTTTTTAAGGCTGAGAAAATGGAGGCACAGAAATTTCAAGTCTTTTTTCCAGGACTACATCGTTAAGATTCCGTGATTTTGCCCATTATTCCACAGCTAAGATTACATGAGCCTAGATTGCAACAGAATTAGCTGCCTCAAGAGTCCAAGTTCTTAAGCACTAGGTTATTCATCCTTTCTAGTTCTAAGAATATTCTATTTTTCAAACTGAGTATGGTATACACATGCATATTAGACTTAATGTTTACTAGAGGCCTGGTGCATGAGATTCGAGCACTGGGGGGGAGGGTCCCTCAGCCCAGCCTGCACCCTCTCGCTCCTGCAGTGAGCATCTTCCCCCGGTGGTCAGTGCACATCATAGCGACCAGCCATTCTGCCATTCAGTCAATTTGCATATTAGCCTTTTATTATATAGGATACCTTTCATATACTGTATTACAGATGACATATATATGAAATATTTCACTTAAACATGTAAGTGCTTTTCCATCTTTATGCCCTCCTCCTTTGGGCTCCAGCTGGCTGTCCCGGGCCTGGCATTGGGCAGGAACATAATGAGATGCATTGAGAAACAACAGTGGGGTAGTAGAGAGCCATTACCCAGAGGGCTGAGGAGAGAGAAGCTCTTCTCACTCCTGTCACATTTGGCTTTCGCTTCCTCTCCTAGAGTTCCCCAGACAGCACCGATGAAAACAAGGAGAAGCCATTGTTCAGAATCATGTTAAGGGACATTGTTGAGACAACAGATCCCTGACACATCCTTAGAGTGACCCACCTCTGATTTTCTTTCTTTTTAAAAAAATTTTCTCTTAAATTTATTGGGGTGGCATTGGTTAATGAAATTATATTGGTTCTGCTTTTCTGGTGTAGCTCAGTGGTTGAGCATCGACCCACATACCAAGATTTCACAGGCTTGATTCCCAGGCAGGGCACATGCCAGGGTTGCCAACTCAGTCCCCTGTAGGGGTCCTGCAGGAGGCAGCCAATCAATGATTCTCTCTCGTCATTGATGTTTCTATCTCTCTCTCCTACTTCCTTCCTCTCTGAAATCAATAAAAAAAAATATATTTAAAATATGTATTTTTAAAAATAAAAATGAGCTCCCATTCCTGGGCTCTGGAGCTGAAATGATATGGAACATGACCAGTGACGGTCCATCCCCTTTGAATTGTGCCTCTAGGTACCGTGAGCCAAGACTACACGGTGAAGAACTTGATCCAATTGGGCGTGGCCGTGCTGGTGCTCCTGGCTCTCTTGGCCACACTGGCTGAAAACTGGCGCAGCCGTAAGGTTTCACACGGAGGACACTGGCAAGAGGTGCCTGAACCGAGCCTGAGTGAACAGAAAAGCCAGGCAGGGTAGCCCTGCGGACCGAGCCCTGGTGGCCACCAGGAAGATGCCTGGGGCTGCAGGTGGATAACATCCGAGCTTGCAGAGTCCAGCAGAGCACACTGGAGGAAGGGACGCTGAGGAGCTCAGATCCACTTTCAAGCTAATCGAGTGGTGGTTCTTGTATGAGTCTCAGGTGTTTGCACCCCCACCTTCCGGAACGTGGGTGAGAAAATTCTCACCTGTAGCCTCGGGGTAACTCCTTTCCTGTAATTAAAAAAAATAATAATAATGCAAAGCATTCTCAATTCGTCTGGCTGACTTTTTTCACCATTTCATTTGTATTTCTTGTATCTTTATTGTTGAGAATACGATAGATGTCCCCTCTATTTTCCCTGTTGCCCCCTCCACCTAGTTCCCGCCCCACCCTAAGCCTTCACCAGGCTGTTGTCTGTGTCCATGGGCAATGCCAATATGCATATAAGTGCTTTGGTTAATCTCTTCCCATCTCCCCCTTTCCTCTGAGATTCATCAGTCTGTTGCATGCTTTAATGCCCCTGGTTCGATTTTATTCATCAGTTTATTCTGTTCATTGGATTCCACCCAAAGTGAGATCATGTGGTATTTATCTTTCTCTGACTGGCTTATTTCCCTTAGCATAATGCTCTCCAGGTCCCTACATGCTGTTTCAAAGGGTAACAGAGTTTTCTTTTTCACATTTGCATAGTATTCCATGGTGTACATGTACCACAGCTTTTTTATCCACTCATCTACTGATGGGCACTTGGGCTGTTTCCACATCTTGGCTATTGTCAATAACGCTGCTATGAATATAGGATTGCATATATTCTTCCTGATTTGGTGTTTTGGGATTCTTAGGATATATTCCTAGAAGTGGGTCAAATGGCAATTCTGTTTTTTAATTTTTTGAGGAAACTCCACACAGTTTTCCACAGTGGCCACACCAGTCTGCATTCTCACCAGTGCACGAGGGTTCCTTTTTCTCCACATCCTCACCAGCACTTGTTGTTTGTTGATTTATAACCATTCCGGTAGTTCATCCTTTCTTTATAGAAGATCAGTTGTAGTTTTGATCCCCCTATTCAGGATGTATGTGGAAGGCAACCAATCGATGCGTATCTCTCACATCAATCTCTCTCTCTCTCTCTCTCTCTCTCTCTCTCCCACTCCTTTCCACTCTCTCTAAAACTCAATGGAAAAAAATATCCTCAGGTAAAGATTAACAACAGCAACAAAAAAAACCCCACAGCACATAACCAACTTTCTCACCGGCATGAGCTGTGTTCTCGCTATCTACATGCAGCGGTCAACGTGGAAACTCTGATGCGTAGCCCTGGCTTCTCACCCACTACTTCCTGTGACCCACGAAGACTAAGGTCTCCAAACCATACAAAACAGGAAGTTAGCTGGAAGCACTCAGCCTTACTCTTGGTGAGTCCTATATTGGAGACGCCACTATGGAAAGACAAGACGGGGCAATCCAACAGGCGACGCTTTACCCAGGGAGAACAGAGCTGGCGATTTTAGGTCAGAATCTGCCTACAAGTTCAATCAGGAGTGAACATATCTGTTTCGCTTTTATTCCCCTCAAGGCAGCCTTTGAGCAAGATGTTATCTACACAAGGGGCTGACACCTTCCTTCAACATGTTGTAAAAACATTGTGGTGGAGACTGTCTAGGCCGGTGGTCAGCAAACTCATTAGTCAACAGAGCCAAATATCAACAGGACAACGATTGAAATTTCTTTTGAGAGCCAAATTTTTTAAACTTAAACTATATAGGTGGGTACATTCTACTTTAAATTCACGGTTTTTGTCTTCTGCTTTTCTTTGCTTCTTCTTTGTAGCCATCTCAAACAGGGCACCTAAAAAAATGTTTCATTTTATAATAATAAAGCCATCACAAAAGAATTACAATTCTTAAATTGATGACAAAAATACCTGTAGGATTTGCAGCTGGTTGGAAAAATACAGGTAACTTTATGCTTCAAGTAGGTACTTTTGTCACCCGCGCGCGATTTGCGGACGCGACTAGCACTAACCACTGCACAATGAGACTGCTGACTGACTGGTTCACTCAACTCGTGCAAGAATCGCGCGCGCCTCCCTGGCGCTGCGTATCCCGCGGCCCACCTGCGCCCAACCGACCGACACCCCCCACTTCTTCTAATGCCACTTCTTCAAAATAGACTCGCCCAGGCCGAAAACCAACTTGTGCGCATGGGCCACGAAGTTTCAATCGCACTGTAAGTGTACCCGCACGTGGTATTTTGTGGAAGAGCCACACTCAAGGGGCCAAAGAGCCACATGTGGCTCGCAAGCCACGGTTTGCCGACCACTGGGTTAGAGCATTGACCTGACACACCAAGGGTGCTGGTTCTATCCTCGGTCAGGGAGCATACAAGATTCAACCAATGAATGCACAAATGAGTGGAACCGCAGATTGATATATATCTCTCTCTCTCTCTCTCAAAATCAACTTAAAAAATAATAGACCACTAAGTTATTAATTTTTGTGCTTCTGATATATGATATTTGCTGTATTCTTTGTACATTAGATAAAATAGCAGTGTAAAGATAAAAATTGGTTTTACTGAGCATTAATAGCTTAAATTTTAAAAAATAGTCAGCTAATCTACCAAAGTTCACTAAATATTCAGTCTTTTATCATATTTGTGCCATAAAACACTCCAAGAAAAAAAAAACCTCTTTTATATAATTTATCATTATAATCCAGATAATATGTATTTCTTATTATGGGAGAAAATATGAATTTAAATTTGCTCTGCACAGAAAGGTCAGTGCACTATTTTAAATTAAAATTTACCCAAAACATTGAAAAAAATAATAACAATTCTAAGATTTTTGCTTGAACACCACCTTCTCTGGGCATAATGTCCACATTTCAAAACGCAGACGTTGACCCAGAAACGAGTTTCAGACAAGACAGACCACTGTCGGAGGATCTGGTGAGGCCTCAGGCTGTGATCAGACGAGGTGTGAGGACCATGTCCTCTCCTTACGCCGCCGACCAGAGGTGAGGAAGAGCGGAGAGCCTTCTTGCAAACCAGTCCATTATGAGAGCTCCGTGTGGGCAGGCTCTGGGCCTCACTCACCACATCCTGTGCATCTGCCTGGCCTGCTGGGCTCTGCCTCCACCCAGCTGCTCCTCGCCCGCCCGCCTGGTAGACTCTGCTATGCCATCTACACTCCCTGCCCTGCTCTGCCTCGGTGAGTTCCTATGGGGACAGGGTGTGGGATCCAGGGTCCAGGTGGGGCACCCTGGCTCATTGTTCCTATCTTCCAGGACTGTATCTGAGCCTGAGGGTCGGCGCCCAGAATGGTGAGTCCTCCCTTCAAAACCTCAGCGTCACCCTTCCGGGCTCAGGCTGGGCATAGCGTCCGCCGTTCAAAGTGTAGAAGTTGGCCCAGAAATGGGTTTCAGGTGGGGCCGACCGCTGTCTCCACCTGAGAACAACGGGAGGGCTGGCCAGCGGCTGGGTAGGAATTGGGTCGGGAGGGGCTGTCTCTGGATTCCCTCCAGCCTCTGATTCCCTTCCAGAGACCCTCTCAAAGCCCCTCATCTGGGCCGAAACCAGTTTCATGGTTCCAAACGGGGCGTCGGTGTTCGTCTGGTGCCAGGGAAGTCGCAGGGCCATTGAGTACCAGCTGCATTTTGAGGGAGTCTTTGTCTTGGAGAGACTGAAAGCCCCTGGGCTGATGAACAAAGTCAAGTTCTCCATCCAGCCCATGAACTCCTCCACTGCAGGGAAGTACACGTGCTTCTACCGAACTGGAGAGCTCTGGTCAGAGCCTAGTGACCCTCTGGACCTGGTGATAACAGGTAAGTGTCCCCTTCTCTAGCTGGAGTGTCTCCTCCTCGGCCTGAATCCTGGGGAGCGTCGTCGTTTATTAATCTCTCTCTCTCTCTCTCTCTCTCTTTTTAAATATTTTTATTTATTTCAGAGAGGAAGGGAGAGGGAGAGAGAGATAGAAACATCAACAATGAGAGAGAATCATTGATCGGCTGTTCCTGCACTTCTACTGGGGAATCTAGCCCGAACCGGGCATCAAACTGTGACCTCCTGGTCCACAGATCGACACTCAACCACTGAGCCACCCCAGCCGGGCTATTCATCTCTTTTAGTCTCTTTCCAACTTCACTCAGATACCATTCGCCCTGGGGGTGGGCGTCTGATCACTTCCTACAGGGGTTATTTGAGAGTTATCGCTACGTCCTAGGATCAGATTTGTCTTAGTTCAAATTCTTCAGGTAAGAGATGCTGAGATGGATGTTTGTGTGCAGGGAAGGATGATTGGAGGAGGGGTGGGGAGGGGTGTCCTCAAAAAACAGCCCCTGTGATGGATGAGAGACACAGGCTGGGCAGATGAGGTGAGACTGGGATACTTTCTCTGAACCCGGCCAGGCACTCTAGCCCTGAGAGGGCCCTTCAGACTGGTCTCAAATGATGCTAGAGGCCCCCACTCCCGGCCCCAGCATCAGCCAGTGATTGGATGAGAACAGAACCCCTCCCAGAGAGGTTCCACCAGGTACCCTTGATCTTACGGCACTTGGACTCTCGCCCAAGACAGACCTGGAGGGAGAGTCAGGATGCGTAAGTCAATTCGGTAGCACATGAGGAGGAAATGGCGGCCTGACAAAGTAGGACAGCGCAAACGCGATAGGGAGGGAGGGAGGAAGGAAGGGTAATCTTGGGGTCCCTTTGGCTGAGGAGTGTTCTCAAGCGTAGGCCAATGTGGACTTGCCTGGAGTGCTCATTGAACACAGACGGCTTCGGTACAGCCGTGTTCATGGAAGCACTGTCCACAGTCGCCAAAAGGTAGAAACAACCTAAGTGCCAATCGACAAATGAAGGGGTAAACAGAATGTGGTTTGGCTCAGTGGATAGAGCGTCGGCCTGTGAACTGAAGGGTCCCTGGTTTGATTCCGGTCAAGGGCACATGCCCAGGTTGCACTTCCCCAGAAGGAGAAGTGCAAGAGACAGCTGGTCAATGATTCTCTCTCATCATTGATGTTTCTGCCTCCCTCTCCCTCTCACTTCCTCTCTGAAATCAATAAAAATATATATTTTTTTAAAAAATATGTGGCCCATTTGCAACAGCATGGATGGAACTGGAGAGCATTATGCTAAGTGAAATAAGCCAGTCGGAGAAAGACAAATACCACATGATCTCACTCATTTATGGAATATAATGAACAACATAAACTGATGAACAAAAACAGATCCAGAGACAGAGAAGCAGCGATCAGACTGTCAAACCTCAGAGGGAAGGTAGGGGAGGGTGAGGGTAAGAGGGAGAGATCAACCAAAGGACTTGTATGCATGCATATAAGCCCAACCAATGAACACAGACACCAGGGGGATGAAAGCATGAGTGGGGGCTGGGGTTGGGGGTTAATGGGGGGATGAGGACACATATGTAATACCTTAATCAATAAAGAAATTAAAGATTGGAAAAAATGTGGCCCATTCACACAAGGACATGTTGTCCAGACTTACGAAGGAAGGACGTTCTGGCACGTGGTACGACGGGGTGAACCCCATGTGAAGTAAGTCCATCACAAACGGACAAATACTGCCTGACTCCACTTCTCTGAGGTCCCTGGAATAGTCACATTCATGGAGACAGGAAGGAGAATAGAGGTGGGGGAGGGTGTGTCAGGGCCTAAGGGGAGGGGAAAGAGGAAGTTGTTGGTTACGGGGCCAGAGTTTCAGTTTTGCAAGATGAAAAGAGTCCTGTGGATAGAAGGAGGTGATGGTGGCATGGCAACATGAATGTGTTTAATGCCACCTAACTGTGCACTTCGAAGTGATCAGGCCAGGGTGGCTCAGATGGCTGGAGCATCCTCCCATACACCAGATAGGTTGTGAGTTTGATTCCTGGTCAAGGCATGCACAGTAGGCAGCCAATCTCTCTCTCTCTCTCTCTCTCTCTCTCTCTCTCTCTCTCTCTCTTTCTCTTTCTCTTCCTCTCTAAAGTAAATGAACATATCCTCAGGTGAGGATTTTTTTAAAAGTGATTAAGATGGCCCTAGCGGGTTTGGCTCAGTGGATAGAGCGTCAGTCTGCGGACCAAAGGGTCCCAGGTTCAATTCCGGTCAAGGGCACATACCTCAGTTGCAGGTTCCTTCCCAGCTGGGGCCCTGGTCAGAGCACGTGCAGGAGGCAACCAATGGACGTGTTTCTCTCACATGGATGTCTCTCTCTGTCTTTCCCTCTCTCTTCCACTCTCCCTAAAAATCAATGGAAAAATATCCATTGACTGGGTGAGGATTATTAAAAAATAATAATAATAATATTTTAAAAAGTAAAGACAAGGGAAGGGAAGGGGTGGGAGGTCTAGGAGGCAGGATAAAGACGCCCGTTACCTTCCAACCCCTTTCTCCCACAGGAATGTATGACAGGCCCACCCTCTCCGTTCACCCTGGGCCCGAGGTGCTCCCAGGAGAGAATGTGACCTTCTTTTGCCATCTAGAGACGGCAACGACCACGTTCTTTCTGCACAAGGAGGGGCCGGCCAGCCGCCCGTGGCGCAGAGTCAGCAACAGTCCGGCAGCGTTCTCCATGGGCCCTGTGACCCCAGCCCACAGGGGGATGTACAGGTGTTTCGGTTCCTATAACGAGCACATGTGGTCTTTCCCCAGTGAGCCTGTGACGCTCCTGGTCACAGGTGAGGACGCCCCCGGTGTTTCCCCAGGGCCTCTCTGGAACCCCCAGGGACCCCCATGCAATGAGGACCAGTTGGGATGATGTAGAGAGAGAGCTTTGTACCTCCCAGTGATGCCCCACCCACATCCATTTCCTTGAGGCCCGGTTGACTGTTCGTGAGGAAGAATATCGGATGACTAGGCATAGATAATAGGTGGGAAGATCAGAGGGAACCCCAAACCCTCACTTTTTCTTTTTTCTTGTCTCCATTGTCAGGAGATGCCGGGGTCACTGACCTGGCATCCACGGGACAGCCCTCTTCCCCGGGTGAGTAACAGGTGCTTCTAAACATGGGGAGGGCCCTAACCAGTTTGGCTCAGTGGATAGAGCGTCGGCCTGCAGACTCAAGGGTCCCAGGTTTGATTCCGGTCAAGGGCATATACCTTGGTTACGGGCACATACCCAGTAGGAAGTGTGCAGGAGGCACCTGATTGATGTTTCTATCTCGTTGATGTTTCTAACTCTCTATCCCTCTCCCTCCTCTCTGTAAAACATCAATAAAATATATTTTAAAAATAAAAAATAATAATAAAATAAACGTGGGGAGGGACTCAGAGCCTCCCAGAGCCATCACCTACCGCTCTGTCGGTCAACCACACAGATGCCCTTGCTCCTGTGACCTGGATTCCAGCAAGAGGGCACCGACAATGAGTCAGTCACAGCACATCCGTCAATCAGACAGCTCGTGCACAGGGAATGGTGGGGTGCGAGAAGACAAAGCAGAACTTTGCCATTAAGGTGATGGATGGGGAAAGCAGGTCGCAATAGTACACAGAGTTGTCTCAGCTGGCCTCACAGAGAAGGAGGCCTCTGAGCAAAGGCTGAGGCTGTCTGGAGAAAGACAGTTGCAGGAAGATGGCCAGTTTTGCTCAGTGATTAGAGTGTAGGCCTTCAGACTGAAGGGTCAGGGGTTCAACTCCCGGTCAAGGGCATGGACTTGGTTGCAGGCTAGATCCCTAGCCCCAATTGGGGTGTGTGCAGGAGGCAACCAATCCATGTGTCTCTCTCACATAGATGTTTCTCTCTCTCTCTCTCTCTCTCTCTCTCTCTCTCTCTCTCTCTCCCTCTCTCTCTCTCTCTCCCACCCTCCCTTCCACTCTCAATGGAAAGAATATCCTTGGGTGAGGATTAACAAACAAAAATTTTAAAAACAATTTTTTAAGGAGGCCAGGAGGACTGGAAATCATGTCCAATAGAGATGGGGTGGGGCTGGGGCAGCTCATGAGAAAGTGGCAAGACTGACCTTTCCTGTGTGTGAGGAAGAAGAGATGATACTGGTTGACTCATTGAGGAAACTGAGGCTCAGCGAGAAGACAGGCCTGGCATAAAGACACTCACTTCCTAGCCCTAGAGCTGAATTCTTCCTCCTGTTCTTCTGCCTTTTGACTCTTCCACTCCACCTGCCAGATGAAGCCGCTGGGGCCTGGAGGGTGGAACGGGAACCCTGAAAAGCACTGGGATGCCATGGGGTGTGTCCAAGGGGAGGAGGGAGGCTGGGGTGGAAGAGGCCCACACCATCTCCCTTCCTCCCTTATCCACGTTCCTTATCTCCTGCAGACTCTTGGGAACCCCACTGGTCAACCACAAAGAAGGGACTCCGTAAAGGTAAGTGAGCAGTTGGGGATGCAGGCTCTGGAGCAAGCATGTCAAACTCAAAGGCTAACAAGGTGTAAGTGGGTGTGGGCCGCAAAAAAACAAAAGCTTCCATTTTCATAGAAATGTAGGCTTATTTCGATAGAGATGTGCTGAATACAAAGGGCTGAAATAAATGAGTCATCGTTAACACAAAATAATAGAACATTTTAATAAAAAATATTTTTTTTCTTGAACATGAACTTACTAGACACTGAATAACTGCACAAATTCATAAGCGTCATACAAATAAACCTATTTTTTTTTTGTTCTCCAAAAGCGAAATGTTTCCTGTTGCACACACCAAACAAGTCAGTCCAAGACTAATGATGGGCCATCAGCTGCTAAAATATTTGCTGCTGGTATTAGTGGAGAGAAATGGTGCGCCTGTGCATAAGACGCATAAGGGAAATGAATGCAACTCGATTATAGTAATCAGTCATTAGCCAACATTGTAGTTTGTTATCAATAATTATGTATAACAGAATATTGTAAAAATTAAGTTATGAAATTTTTATTAAAACGTTTCTTACATACCGTTATATTGGCCGGGCCGCAAGAATATTCGTGTGGGCCGCATGCAGTCCGCGGGCCATGAGTTAGGGCCTGGGAAGGAGACAGGATGTGATGCTATTGATCTGTTCCTGCCTGTGATCACCATTCTTCTGACCCCAGATCTGATCCCCTGGGATTACACGGCGGAGAACCTCTTTCGGGTCGGCCTGGGCCTCCTGGTCCTGGTGGCCCTTATGTGCCTCCTGGCCCACACCGGGCTTTTGAGGAAGAAGAAGAAAAGGGTCTCGAGTCAGGAACGCAGGAGAAGGTTCAGATGGCAAGGAGCCCTGGACGAATGACCGAGAGATGTGGCGGCCATAGGTGAAGCTGAGTGCTGACCTTGACCTTGAGCTGGGTGACCTCTATGTTGGAAGGAAACCAGGGGACAACTGCGTGGAGTTTGATGAACCAAGGCAGGAGGCGGGATGAAGAGGCTAAATGTCTCCTGCAGGCAGATCCCACTGCCTCTTCTAGGTTCTCAGTATTTTGTTGTTGTTGTTGAATGTATTGGGGTGACATTGGTTAATAAAATTACATGGGTTTCAGGGGTACAATTCAATAGTATGTTGCATTGTGTGTTCACCACCTTAAGTCAAGTCTCCTTCATCACCATTTGTTCCTCCTTTACCCTTGCCTACCTTCCCCACTCCACCCCCACCCCCTTTCGATCTGGTAATCACCATACTGTTGTCAGTGTCTGCAAGGTTTTTGTTGTTGTTCTTGTTATTATTATTGTTTTTGCTTGATCCCTTCACCTTTTTCACCCAGCCCCATAACCATCCTCCCCTCTGACAGCAGTCAGCTTGTCCTCTATCAATGAGTCTGTGGAATATTACTAGGCTGTTAAAAAAAATAGAACATCTGCTATGGCCAGAGGGCTCAGTTGGTTGGAGTGTCCTCCCATACACTAGAAGGTTGCAGGTTCGGCCCTTGCTGGTTTTGCTCAGTGGATAGAGCATCAGCCTTTGGACTGAAAAGTTCCAGGTTCAATTCTGGTCAAGGGCACATGCCTGGGTTGCGGGCTTGATCCCCAATCAAGGCCGTGCAGGAGGCAGCCAATCAATGATTCTCTCTCATCATTGATGTTTCTCTCTCTCTCTCCCTCTCCCTTCCTCTCTGAGATCAATAAAAACATATTTTATATGTGGATGAAAATAAGGAACATTGGCAAGTGTTTTTATGTCAATCATTTCCCATTTTCTGTAACTGCTTTAAGGACTTGGTGTTCCAATAAAGTATTTTTATATAAGAAAAAGTAGGCGAGGTATTTTTACAGGAAATGCAAGGGGGGACTTGCAGAACTCTTCATTTAAATAATAATAGTCATAATTCTTACTTTCAATAAAAAGAAGCAAAAGTTAAAGCTTCAGACATGGAGTCAATTTTGCAGGAGAACATCCATCTCCCTGGTGTTACGGGTCCCTGGGTAGGGAGCCCGACTCCCCTGAGAAAGGACCCACACCCCCGGTTGGCTGTGCCCCTTCATGTCACTCCCCAACCACTGGAAACTGGTTTCTCACCCCCACTTCCTCCGGAGCTGTTTTCACGACAAACGCTAATGGGTTTCCTGGAACTTGCCGTGGACACGTTGCCACGTGGTCATGTCTGAGGCTTTTATCTCTGTTTGCCGGCCGGCCGTCTACGACCACTTCCTCCACGGCTCTCACTGCCTTTCTCTGCTCATCGCTCATTCTCCAATGGCTCCTGCACCATCCATTCCAGCTTCCCCAACGCTGGAGCTTCGGGGTTCGCTGGCAGGCCCCCCTCTTTCTCTGGACACATGTCTGGGTTGATCTCATTGAAGCCCATGGTTTCACTTTCCCCAAGATGAATGCCCCGATCTGTTTCTCTGAACCCTGATTTTTTTGTGTGTGGTTTTTTTTTTTTTTGCCAAATCTTCAGGTTATTTTTATCAGCTTTTTTCCCCCCCAATTAATCTGAATGCGTCATCGTTCCACCTACAAAGGTGTCCTCCCCACTTGTAAAAATTCCCACCCTGTTTTCGGTCACTTTGCTCTGTTCTCTATACCTACGCTTGTGCTTCTGGTCACTGTTAGAAAAATGTGTCACATGAATCACCAGGGAATGATACAGTTTACCACTGATGGGTATATATATGTATAAGTCCAAGACCAAGTTGCTGACCCATTGGGTTTCTGGTAAGAAAGGTCTTCCTGGTTTCATTGGAGCCCAAGTCAATAAATTCACTTTTGTACCTTGACTTTTGCATTTTTTAGTTTTGGGGTGAAGTATTTGCCATAGATATTTCCACATATCACAGCAATCAACACAGCCCAGCCAGTGTCACTCAGGGGTTGAGCATCAACCTACGAAACCAGGAAGTCACGGTTCCATTCCCCATCGGGTCACATGTCTGGGTTGTGGGCTTGATCCCCAGTGTGGGGCATGCAGGAGGCAGCCGATGAATGATTCTCTCTCATCATTGTCTCTCTCTCTCCCTCTCCCTTCCTCGCTGAAATCAATAAAAATATATATTTTTAAAAAGCTATAAACCTAAAACAAGAGCTCTCCCTGATTTAGTTACAGATGGACTTTCTTCCGTGCACGCACCTGGAGACAGATACCACTGGCTTCCTCTTTTTATTTTTTTACATTTTTTTCTTTATTGATTAAGGTATTACATACGTGTCCTAATCCCCCCATTTCTTCCCCACCTGCCACCCTGCTCATGCCCTCACCCCTCTGGTGTCTGTGTCTATTGGTTATGCTTATATGTACCTTGAACACACCCAATCTCATCTGGTTTCCTCTTTTCATAAAGCCACCCATCCTATTGAATTAGCACCTCATTTTTATGACCACCTTTAACCTTCATAGCTCCTAAACGGACCTTATCTCAACACACAGTCACACGAGGGGGGTTAGGGCTTCAACATGTGCATCTGGGGTTGGAGGGAGAGACACCGTTCATTCCACAGCAGTGACCTTCCAGGGCACTGTGTGATGTCAAGATGCATCCCTGCCCTCCAGCCAACAGATACCAGGAGCACACATACACCCCCACCAAGTGTCACAGCCAAAAATATCTCTGGATAATTCCAAGTGTCTCCTTGGGGACAAAAATCACGTCCCAGATAACCACTGGCTTAGAAGGATGTAGACAGGGTGATGGGAGAAGCCACACCTAGTGGGGAGGAGCCTGCATGGGATCTGGTCAGGGTGCAGCAGGATGAGGAGGCGGTGCCTGTGCGAGAAGGGGTGGTGTGAGACACAGCAGCGACACCCAGAACACCCACCACCGGGCAGAGAGCAGCAAGGGCAGAGCCTGCGGTCGGTGCACCCTCGGGGAAAGAGCAGGCGGCCCAGCCTGGCTGGAGCAGAGGGAGCTGGGAGAACCCTTGTGAGAGGTGAGTGGAGAGGTCAGCAGGGCCGGGTAGAGGACTTTTTTATAGTCTGTTTATCTCTTCCAGCTTTGCTTTACCTCTTTTCACTGGCACGGACCCTGAGGCAGAGTTCTCTGAAAACAGGGGTGTCTCGCTCTAAGCGGAATTTGGAGAATCCCCCTGGACTTGCAAGCCTGCTTTTGCCCACAATGAGTGGTCCCAGGTGGCTCTTAGTTTCTGGCAAAGAGTCGGCTAAGCCAGGGTTTCTGAGCCTCAGCACTGCTGAAATGTGGGACCAGATAATTCTTTGTTGTCCGGGTGAGGGGGGCAGTACTGTGCATGGTGGGGTGTCTAGCAGCATCTCTGGACTCTACCCAGCAGACGCCAAGACCTTCTCCTCCCCCAGTTGTGACAACCAAGTGTCTCCAGGCATTGAGCTGGGCGTGGGGGAGACCGGTATCACCCTCCGCTGAGAAACACTGGGCCAGAGAGAGGTCCAGGCGGCGAGCCTGGGTCCCAGAACAGTACTAGGCCTGCTCTAGCCCAGTGGTTCTCAACCTTCTGGCCCTTTAAATACAGTTCCTCATGTTGTGACCCAACCATAAAATTATTTTCGTTGCTACTTCATCACTGTCATGTTGCTACTGTTATGAATCGTCATGTAAATATCTGATATGCAGGATGATCTTAGGCGACCCCTGTGAAAGGGTCGTTCAACCAGCAAAGGGGTCGCGACCCACAGGTTGAGAACC